TTTGTGGCAGGGTCTTACTGTGTAGTTTAGCCCTGCACTGGCCCGGCTGTGACCCCAGTCTCCTGGCTTTGTGGCAGGGTCTTACTGTGTAGTTTGGCCCTGCACTAGCCCGGCTGCCCTGAAGCCAAGATCTCTTGCCCGTCTCCTGAACGCTGGCCTTGTCAGGTGCGCGTCGCTAAGTTGGGCTCAAGGGCTTTTTGTTTTGTTTTGTTTTTTAAGCAGACCAGATTAGCTTTGAACTCACAGAGATCCCCCTGCCTCTGTCTTCTGAGTGCTGGCTTTAGACTCCTGTGAAACTGAAGGCGGCCTTGGACTGCTGATCTCCTTTCTTGTACCCACCCCCATCCCCCACCCTGCCCCACCCACGCTTGCTATCATGCTTGGCTTGAACTGTTGATTCACATTTATTAGTGTGTGTCCTGTTCTTTTAACTTTTCATTTGCTCTCTTTACAGGGTTTCAGACAAAATAAGAAAGAAGGAAAGCGCTCACATACAAATTAAACAGTAAGTCTGTTATTGTAAGAACTAATCTTACCTTTGCATAACTTTCATAGTTAGTGGAAAATGAGTGTTTTAAACATTTAAAAGTTGAAATGTCAAAAAGTTTATGTAAAACTATACTGAAGACATTTTTTATTATTATTATTTTATTTATTTTTTGGTTTTTCAAGACAGGGTTTCTTTGTGTAGCTTTTTTTTTTTTTTTTTTTTTTTGATGCCTGTCCTGGATCTCACTCTGTAGACCAGGCTGGCCTTGAACTCACAGAGATCCACCTGGTTCTGCCTCCTGAGTGCTGAGATTAAAGGTTTGCACCACCACCCCACTGACATTTTATTTTTCAAAAGTGTGTGTGTGTGTGTGTGTGTGTGTAGCCAGAGGAGAGTGTTAGATCCCCTGGAGCTTGAGTTGCATGTAGTTGTCAGCTCCGTGACATGGTGCCGGGAACTCACCTAAGGTCCTGTAGAAGAGTAGCAAGTGCTCTTAACTGCTGAACTCACTCCCCAGCCCCACTAAAGACTGCCAAAAATTAGATTAAATATTGAACTATCCCCACTTAATCAAATTTTCATGATGTCAAAGTGTCATCTCCCAAATATCTGGTGGTTGGTTTGGTTATGTGGGCAAAACATGCTTTATGAGAAAAGATTCTGAGGCTGGCCTTCAACTCCATGTTGTCCTGCCTCGGTCTCAGAGTGCGAGGATTATGGATACGCCGTATCACACCTGGTTTAGAATCTGGTTTAGGGTGTGAGGATAATTGCAGTGCCATTGGCCACTGGCCAGTCAGGCTTGCTGCTTTGGGGGGGTGGGGGGCAGTAGGGATTGAACCTAGGGCCTCCCCCATGCAGGGAGCAAACATTCTGCCACTGAGCCGGATCACCAGTCCCACGTGCACTTTAAGTTAAACTGTTTTGTGTGCCTGGAGGTTTTGCCTACATGTGTGTTTATGTACTGTGTGCATGCCTGATGCCCTCAAGGCTAGAAGAGGGCACTGGATCCCATGAACCTGGAGTTATATATAGGTGGTTATAAGTTGCCTGGGTCTTCTAACAAGAGCAGTAAGTGCTAGTAACCACTAAGCCATCTCTCCAGGACCTCCCCCCCCCCCCACACACACACACACTTGGATAAACGATGCAGTGTGCAATACACTGCATCATCTCTTGTCTTAGTCACTGTTCTGGTGCTGTGAAGGGACACCATGACCAAGGCAACTCCTATAAAGAAAGCGTTGACCTGAGGGCTTGCTCACAGTTTTAGAGAGTTAGTCTGTGATCATCATGGCAGGAGGCCGACAGGCATGGCTCTGGGATGGTGGCTGTTTACACAGAGTTCTTCTTGTAACTTTCTAGAGGCCCTAATATTTTTAGTTCCTTTTTTAACTCTAGAGACACCTAAAATTATAATTCTGAGTGGCTTTTAGTTTTACTATATTGAAAAAATGCTCATTAGACTGTAGCAGTCACTACTTTTTAATGAAAAGTTTTAACACATGATTTGATAATTTGTATGTTTTAAATTCTAGTAGAACAGATCAATACTAGTATTCCTTAATTTTGAAAGTTACTATTATGTTTATATTAGCATATTTTTATTCTTTGCATTCAGTATAAAAATAAGATTTAGAGGCTGACAAGATGCTTCAGAGGGCAAAGGCCTGATGACCTGAGTTCAGTCCCCAGGGTGGAAGGAGAGAGCCTACTAGTTGTCTCTGACTCCACACTCATATATTTTCACACACACACACATACAATTTCTTCTTTTTTTTTAATATTATGTGACTGCCTAGACTTTTTTCTTTCAAATTCAGGTTCAGCTCTCTGCCAAGGAGATGGTATGTTGGTGTCCCTGGTCGATATGAACAGACATCTCATCGTCATCTTGGGAACTCTTGGCTGAGTGATGTCATCACCAGTGTTTTCCCGTTCTGGGTCCGGGCCTAACTCACCAGTAGGGTGTGTTTAGAGCACGATCACTTTGAGGAAGAGAATGGTGGAACTGTGAGCACATGGAAGTCAGTCTGCCAAAACTGTGACTGAGCACACTTGTACAACTGTAACTCCCTTAGTGTGTGAAGATTTTTATTCATGCCTTTACAAACAAATAAAGTCCTTGTTTGAAATATTTTCCTTTGGGATACATACAGTGAAGTTGAGTCTGTTTAAAGATACAGGAAGAAAACTACTCAGACTTATTACCCGGGTAAAGGGTAATTTCTGAAGGTGGGACAAATTGACAATTTAAGGTTGGGAAACAAAAGCTAGTTCATGTCACAGGGGCTACACTGGCTAGCCAGGAACCAAGGTGAGTTCTGGGTTGTATGTGTGTGTGTGTTTCCCATGGCTCAAATCTGGAGGTCGGAGAACGGCGTGTGTGTGTGTGTGTGTGTGTGTGTGTGTGTGTGTGTGTGTGTGTGTGTGTGTGTGTCCCCGTCCCATGGCTCACATCTGGAGATCAGAGAACGGCTTGTGAAGTCTTTTCTCTCCTTCCTACTGTGTAGGTTCTAAGGATTGAATCCAGGTTGTTGGTTGGCAGGTGCCTTTACCTGCTGAGCCGTCTCACCAGCCCTGTTCTTCACTTTTTTGAAAGAGTCTTGTTGTGCAGCCTGAGTTTCCTGCAGTTTACAGTCCTCTTGACTCTGCCCCCAGATGCTGACATCACAGACAGGTACCACCACACCTAACTGTGTTGTCTTTTAGAAGCTGTATTGTTCTCTTTGCACTCTCCCTTGTCTGTCTCCCTCTCTCCGATGTCCCTTACCTCCTCATGTATATATACTGCCTGACCCAGTTGCCCCTTGTTGCTCAAATCCTAAAAGGTCTTATAATATAAAACCTGGAGCCAGATTGGGGTAATGCTGAAAGATCAAAGAGACAGAGGAACAAGCCACTGCCGAATCTTACCTTTAGGAATCTTCCTCCTGAAAAGCCTCTAGTTCCTGTCTCCTCATGCCTTATATACCTTTCTCTGCCCTGCCATTACTTCCTTCTTAGTGCCAGGATTAAAGGTGTGTGACTCCCAAGTATTGGAATTAAAGGAATGTGCCACCACTGCCTGGCTCTGTTTCTCTCCTAGACTGAGTCAATCCCATGTAGCTCATTGTGGCTTTGAATTCACAGAGATCCAGATGGATCTCTGCCTCCCAAGTGCTAAGATTAAAGGCATGTGCCACCACTGCCTGGCCTCTATGTTTGATCTAGTGGCTTGTTCTGTTCTCTGATTTTCAGGCAGATTTTATTAGGGTACACAATGTATCACCACAGCCCCTGCCGTTCTCTCCCCATCATGGCCTTACAGTTCCATGTGTGCCTTCATTAGAGTCTTGTGGTGAGGGTTGGTGTCAAGCACTCAGTCTTCTCCCTGGTTCATTCACCTCTGGAGGAAAAGGTTATGAGATCAGCTCTGTTGAGCTGGAGATGGAGCCCATGGTAGAGCTTGCCTTACATGTACAAAGCCCTGGGTTTCATCTCCACTACCATAAAAACAATATGGTAAATGCTATTCCTTTCCTAAGTTTTGGCTAGGTAAACTAAATTAACTAAGCTCCCTATGTGCCTAGATATTAGCTGTCAAGTAAGTATTATTAAATTAATGAATAGTCAATATCTAGTAAGTAGCTTTGCAAAATATGACTTGAGCTTTTAGAGGGAATATTACCTTTCATGACTGTTGGCTATTATAGATTTGGCATAGCTTAATTGGTTAATTTGCAAGTTAAATTTAATTACTAATATATCCAGTTAACTTCCAGCCAGATATTAGACATTAACATTAATTTTTATTCCCTTTAGTACCCAGTACATTTACTTGGACTGAGCTTATTCATTCTGGCAAATACTCAACTTTTTTTAAGTGCTGGGAATTGCTCTTGGTGAAACTAGGATGCCTTGTATGTTGGCATATGATACAGCACCAGTTACTTGAAAAGCTGAGGTGGTAGGATTCGTCATTTAAGACCAGCCTGGCCAACATGAGACCACGTCTGATGCAGTAACAACAAAGGGAAGGCTGAACTAAAGACAGTAGGCAGTGGAGGTGGCTCAGTGGGAGAGGCCAGCGCAGAGGGACAGCAAGAGCATCACTGGTCTGTCGGCCCAGCCTAGCCTCAAAGCCCCAAGTTCCAGGGTCTCCAGGGAATACTGCAAGCGGTGACAAAGACACCTGTGGTGACCTTTGGCACATAGACATGGGCATATGCATACCCACGCATACACATGCACTCTATCATCTCAGACACAAAATGGAAAATAGCCTACAGCGGGTGGTTAGAAAGCTTATATTGGCCCACAGTTCTGGAGGTTCAGGGCTGATGATTTTGTCTAGTGTGCTGAGCTCAAATCAGGCATAATATCAAAAGAGGCAATGAGCTTGATTTGTGTGCTTTGTGTATGTGCATGTGTGTTTTGTGTATGTGTTCATACTTGGCCTCTCAGGAAGCCACTAGGATTCAGTGGGAGCTTCACCTTGATGACCTTATCCTAAATACCTTCCAAAGACCCCAGCTGTAAGCACAGTAGGTTAAGTTCCCATTCCTGGTAGCTCACAGGAGGGACTGCATTTCCAAACCATGGCATGAGAGAACATCCTAGGAAAAGCAACAGAAAATGCCTTTGTATAAGAATGTGTGTGGAATATTCAAGGACAAGCAAGGAGGCCAGTGGCCAGAGTGAGAGGAAGCATAAGGAGATGGGGATGAGCAGGAGCCAAGGGTCAGGCTGTACATAGGCCGCTGTGAGGTTGAGAGCATTTCCCTTTAGCTGCAAGGTGGAACATGACCTGACTTCCAGAAGGAGCCTCTGACCACTCAGCTGGATGAGGTGTTCCAGGAAGTGCACTCACACACAGTCAAGAGAACTCAGATGCCCCCCAGTGGTTAGAAGAGGAACAGCAGAGGACTGAGCTGGAGCTGTCTGAGGAGGAAACCAGGAGTGAGGCCCTAAGGTCAGATGAAGCAGGTATTTCCTAGAGACCCGTGATGAGCCAGCCCATCAGTAGCTCAGATGCTGGAAACAGGACAAGTAAGATGAAGGTGGCAACACAGTCATTGAATGTACCAATGTGGAGGTCGCTGGTGATGCTAAAACAGCTGTTTGGGTGGGATGGAAGAGATAAAAGCTTGGGGGAGAGGATGTAAGCATGAAAGAACACTTACCCGTGCTTGTAAAGAACTCTTCCAATGAAAGTTGTTTTCTAGACCTTTGGAGCTTAGTAAAATCATATTTAATATCTTTTTATTAGTTTACAGTTACTATTACTTATTTCAGTTGTGCTCTATGTGTAATATTCTTTGTTATAAAATTGACTTCCTGGTTTTGTTTTGCTTTTTTAAAAAAAAACAAAAACTTAAAAATAAAGCAGATGTTCAGAAAAGCAGCCCATTTGAAGGAGTCAGAGTTGGGATATGGAGTGTGTGACCAGAAATAGACATTTCAGTAGTTTTGTTTTTCCTTTTTAAGTGCTGAGGAATAAATCAGAACCATTGAACTCTTACTAGAAATGTTTCTTTTTTCTTTTTAAAAGACTTATTTTTTGTTTTATGGGTATGAGTATTTTGTCTGCATATATATGTGTGTACCATGTGTTAGACTAGTATCCAGAGAGGCCAGAAAAGGATGTTGTATTTCCTGAAATTGGAGTTACAGATGACTGTAAACTGCCATGGGATTGATGGGAATTGAACCTGGGACCTCTGCAAGAACCATGACTACTTTTAACCACTGAGCCAGGTCTTCTAAAAGAGCAGCCAGTGCTCTTAACTGCTGAGCTCTCTCTTCAGGCCTTACTTAATTTTATACTTATGTATTTTCAGTGGTGCTAGAGATTGTGCTTAGGATCTCAGGAACACTATGTAGGCACACACTTTTGAACTACACCTCAAGCTTGAATTTTTATATTAAATATTAAAATAACAGGCAATTTATAAGACAAAATTGGACAAAAGGGAGGAAATAATTAAGACCGTCTACCTCAGTTCTCAGAGATAACCAATGCTAATTATTTTCTATTTTTAACTTTAGGAATCTTTTTCCAAGATTTATTGTAGGATAACTGAAAAATAAAAGGCATATATATTTAAAGTACATAGGTGTTTCTTATATACATTATGTGTCAGGACATGGTCCAAGAATAGAGTCATGTGAGGAGAATTCTGAGTGCTTGTGATTTCTTCAGAACATGGAATTGTTCTTGGAATGTATTTTTGTGTTCCTCCTAGGTGTAGCAGATAGGACTGAGTTTACTTCATATTGCTCATTATTGCTTACTGTTGTTATTCAATTAAATGCTTAAATTATCCTTAATTTGCCTCTTTAGAGTGGTTCTCAGCCTTCCTAATGTTTCAGTCCTTTAATACAGCTCCTCATGTTGTAACCCCAATCATAAAATTATTTTTGTTGCTACTTCATAACTGTAGTTTTGCTACTGTTAGGAATCGTAATGTAAATATCTGTGTTTTCCGATGGTCCTAGGTGACTGCTGTGAAGGGGTCATTTGACCAAATGGTCTCGAAGGACAAGTTGAGAAATGCTGTTCTGTAGAAAAACATGTTTTTGCCGAATGCAGCTTGTTTTTATAATTGTCTACAGCTTGAACACAAGAGAACTTTACTTAGGTGACCTCCCTTAACTCCCCAAGTATAAATTGTCTGATGCTCTGAATAAAGCTGGCTATTGCATGAGATTGTAGTCGGCTTCATTTATTGACTCCATCCTCCCAGGTCCCACCACCTCTAGAGCAGTGACCAGTATGAAATGACAATTATCACAATCAAGTTAATATACCCAGGAATCCTTACAAGATCAAATCACATAAAACAGACTGGATTCCCAACAAAATTATAAAGCTGTCATAATATATGTAATTCTCAAAAGCCTCTGGAACAAAAGCAGATTTCTCTAAGCCCACTTTCTTTTTCACATCCGCAATGGATGGGAGATGGTGTGAGCAAGCATGGCCAAACCAAGGCTGGTGACTATACAGAAGCCCTGCAAAGACTAAAGAGCATCTCTGCAAAGAGTTGTCTGCATCCTGTGCTAAAGTCGACTCGTGCTTCATCATGGGTGGGACGGACTCATCCTTAAACTGGCCATTTCTTACCTCCATCAAATGCTCCTTCCTTGTGGCTTTTACACAGATCAATGTTCCTTTCTCTGCCTCTTCCTGTTGACCTTGGCAATGGAGGATTCTCAGTATGAACTTGAGTGAGGCTCTAGTCTTTAGACAGGACCATACGAGGATTGCCAAGGACTGCTCAATGTGGGCGTGCAGGCTTTCAAACAGTTAACAGCCTGACAGGTTAAGAATATTCTTGTGTATGTAATAGTAAAGGATTTGGTTCATCAGCAGGTCTTGTTATATAACCTAGCTGGACTCAACCTCTTGACCCTCCTGTCTCAGTCTCTTAAGTACTGGGGACACAATGCTTGTCTAGAGTGAAATGTATTCGAAAATTGGGTTTTGAGACCTCCAGTAATCTTCAGCTGCATCCTTCACTTCTGAATGACAGGAGAGAAGGGCACTACCCACTGCCAGTGAACAATCAAGCATTTGGACTGAGGGTGTCGCTCCTTCACAGCATTAATCACTTTCATGTCCTCTTCATCCAGGAGCCAACTGAGCATATGAAGCCTGATGAGGCTGGGCAGTCGGGACACACACTGACTCAGAGCCTTGACAGTGGTGGCCTGAACTTGGATGGATTCTGGGAGATGCCTGGAAATGTTGAGCACTTGCAAGTTTGGCAGGTTGTCCAAGGCTTGAAAGAAATGTCTGTACCCTTCCTCTGTAATCTTGTGATTCATTGAAAGATCTAAATTTTCAAGTTTCTGGAAACCTCCACTGGTTGCTCCCTTGGCTGGAAAGAGAGCAAACCAAAATATTTATGAAGACAAAATGCCAAGGACTTGAGTAAAGCTTACAAGGTTATTGTAACTAACCTCATACCCACCAATGAAAGCAGAGATTGCTCAGCATTTTGTCTCCTAAGACCAGGTCCTACTTACATAGCCCTAGCTGGCCTGGAACTTATTTATGTAGATAAGGCTGGCCTAGAACTCACTTATATAGATGAGGCTAGCCTAGAATTCACTTATGTAGATGAGGATGGCCTAGAACTCACTTATGTAGATGAGGCTGGCCTAGAACTCACTTATGTAGATGAGGCTGGCCTAGAACTCACTTATGTAGATGAGGCTAGTCTAGAACTCACTTATGTAGATGAGGCTGGCCTAGA